AACACTTGGTTGTAAAGTGCTTTGGGTGACCTTGGTCTGTAAAATGCGCATATATAAATCTATTTCCTATTCTTGTAGGAAACAATTAAAAACACTTTAAGCATCTTAAAAACACATATGTAATTAAAAAGCATTAAAATCACATAAGTAATCCATTTAAAAACATAAGAATCACAACGTAATTAAAACAACAAATAAAATAGTTACAAAACGACAAAAAGTCTACAAGACAATAAATACTCGGTGTGTTAAACGATAAAATTTCTAGTTGTATGCACTAGGAAAAAAGAAAAAGTCTTTTTCATGGATTTTGACACTTTGACAGAGAGGCAGCCAGTATCACATCCTCAGGATGCTGTTCATACTTTTAGCTCATAACTCTGAAAAGCGCCTCCCACCTGTCTAAGTCCTGACTCTGGGCTCTCTTAACAGGGAGTCGTCCCTTGCGATCTATCAGAGTCCGGGATGGGTTCATATGGACTTGCCATATCATGGATGTACTTTGGTGAATGGCCATGAGAGACTTGTACACCTGGAGTAGTGCCTTTAAAAAGTTATCCACTATGGGCTCAACGGGAAGCAGTGCAGCGACATGGGGGACCGGGACTTATGTGGTCGTACGCTTCCAGGTATTAGTCAGGATCGGGCTGACAGCATTTTGAATATGTACATGCAGCTCGTGTTACTGCATGTTTGGAGATTACCTGTGAGAGGCCAATGCAGTAATCCAGCCTACTGGAAACAACAAGAATGGATAAGAATCTCCAAGTCTGCCCCTGGACACAATATTTTTAATTTTGGCAATATTTTTCAGATGATAAAAAGCTGCGTGATTTGTTACCGATCCCAATGTGGCTATTGAAGTTTAAGTCAGAGTCCATTATTACTCCAGATTTCTGGTGTCCCTTATTTAAAGGCCTTAGGGAGAGAGACTGTAAGGTGACAAATGACGGTACTGTCTCTTTGTTTCTCGGGACCAAAGACAATCATTTTCGGTTTTGTCCGCATTTAGCTGGAAGAAAATTGCATTTGCATCCACTCACTGATCCGCTGGATTACAGCGAGAGGAGTGAGCTCCACCGGTCCATGTTTCTCCGCTGCAGCAAGTGTGACATTAGATCTGAGTGTCATTCAGCGTAAGTGGTGGTAGGACATTCATATTTGACTTAACTGACCTATTGGCAGCACTTGTAAATATTGAACAGGAGGGATTGTCGCCAGAAGCTCGTCCTGTGGCACTCCGCAGGTTCAGTGGCCCATATTATATGAGACATCGTCCTCCAATCTCTCCCCACAATCCTTCCTTTCTTCTAGTTAGGACTTAAACCAGTTAGGGCTGGGTTACCCAGCCATAACACCAACCCTGACCTACAGTTCTCTGCTATGAGATCTAATTGGTCATCGGCTTGTCGAAAGCTCGGCAATAAGAATCTACCCATGACTAAAACTAGAGGACTTTTCCTGCATTCTAGTGTGTTATAGCCGTAACACTCTTTTGTTACCTTGTACTATGAGCGGTCTCAGTACTGTGGTGTGGTCTAAAGCCCAGACTGAAACATGTCAAATGAGTCATTAGATATTAAAAATTCAGTTAGTGTTGGTAGGCAAACTTTTTCAGAATTTTTCCAAATGAAAGGCAATTTGAGATGGGACGGTAATTTTCAAGTACCGCAGCATACAAACTGCTCTTTTTTAGGGAGGGGCCTGATGACTGCCTTTTTCAGGGCATGGAAATGTTCCAGATAAAAAAGACAATGTTTACGATATTTGTGTCAATGAGGGTAATAGGACTACACATAACAGACTTCAGGAATCTAGGTCTTTGGTAGTAACATACCAGACTGCAGGTAGGGAACTAGAAGATCCTGGTGATTATCTTTTTAACAGTTTCATCATTGAGAAGGTGCAAATTGTAGCTAGCTCACAAAGCCTCACTGGATGTTGCATTTGTTAATTGTGTTTTAGAGGTGATGGGTATTTCTGATACCGACTGAACCTCTGTCTCTGAAGAGGTAGACAGACTGTGCAAACTCATTTCAACTGATTTGGAGATTAGTGTTCTAATGGCAACTCAACAGGGGGTGATATTCTATTGATTGTTGAAAATTGGGAACTCTGCAGATTGTTTCGCAGCCATTCAACAGTCTCTGTTAAACTCAAACAATTTCTCTTTTAAGTGTTCATGGACTTTTATCAATTTCTCGCTGCTCTCCGGCACTGGTTATGTGCCCTGGGACCGGGCTGTAGAACATGATGTGTTCTCAAACTGATGGATCATTCCATGGAAATCAAGTTCACCCGTGTTTTCATTTAAGTGTCTACTTCTAACAATTTCATATTTAGCGGGTGGTCTGGTAGCAAAATACATGTTAAAAAATACACAGAAATGATCCGACAGAGCAACATCAACTACATTAACTTTTGAAATATTCACCCCTTTCGTGATAAGCAGGTCCAGGGTGTGTCCTCTGCTATGGGTGGGGCCACTCACATGCTGAGTGAGGCCAAAGGATTCAAGTATGGAACTCAGCTCTTTTGCGTATCTGTCATTAACATTATCCACATGAATATTAAAATCGCCTATAATGACTAAACCATCAAAATCTGTGCACACAACTGAAAGCAACTCAGTGAAATGATCAGTGAAACTATGGCATGACTGTGGCGGCTTGTACACAACAATAATAAGAATGGAAGAAGATTTCGGTTTGTTCTATTTTAAAAGAAACATACTCAAATGATGAAAAGTTTCCCAAGAGGACACTCTATGGGGGAGACAATACGATCTTTAAAAATGCTGCTATGCCCCCCCCCATTTTTATTTTCTCGGGTTTCATATTCAATTTGAAATTTGGTGGTGAGGCCTTCTATTAAAACTGCATCTCATATATTATGGTCAAGCCGTCGGTTTCAGTCATAAACAAAAATCAAGATCATAACGAAACAGCTAAATTATTAATTAAAAATGATTTGTTGCACAGTGATCTGACTTAAGTAGAGCAAGGTTAAAATTAATATTCCAGTGTCAGTAGGTTTAGTTGATTTGATTACAAAGAACTGGAATTAGATTTCCCAGTGTTGGTAACCCGTCTAACATGCTGTCCTTCTTTTAAATAGTGTTTATTCAGGTTTTTAATACATGTTGAGCTGGTTGCGAGGAAAACACACAGTCTGCTATTGGTTTAAAAAGTGAAACTCTGTTGTACTGTGTTAAGTTCCGATGCATTAATGATTCTCAGCACAGTTCAGCGGGCAGGGATGTCGTTACAACTGGCCAGACGGAAAGTGGGTCAGTGTTGCCCACGTACATCACCCAGGTAGCTGTAAGGAGGAGTCAGGTGGGTTTTGGTGGGCGCGCCGAGATAGCCTTTCTAGATGTAAACAGTCACCGCCCCTCGGGGTAGCAATGTACATAACATGGCCAGTAGGAAGTCCCTCTGTCTACAAAAATGGTGCAGTAATTTGTTCGGAGTGCAGACCTATGGTCGATTAGGCGCACAACGTGCCGATATCCAGAAGACAGGCAACGTTGTCACCAAAAAAAGATTAAAAGTGCTTGCAATGTAGACTGGAGCCACATGTTGAGCGCCACAACGCGACATGTAGAGGCAGTCACCACGTTGTTTACCGTCGGGGGATGGGACCAGAATAAAGAATCGGATTAACCCGGGGGACTGGAGGAGGGAGGCACAGATCCATTAAAGTGCTTCATTTGTTGACCTAGACTGTTGCCGTAATATCATTTAGAAACCACTGACACGATTACTGTGGATCATGGGGTTTCGGGCCAGGGAGTGAAGCAGAGTGAGGGAGGAGGTATCGTGAGCCAGATATGGGACAGTAATTGCTGCCGGGTGACATTGAGGAAGACGGTGAACGCCAGTTAAAAAAAGCAGGACGTGCTCTCACCGATGGAATCTCAACTTGCACGCGTGCTAGTCGGTGCGAAGTGTGAACGCGGCCCGCGGAGAGGTGCGCGGTAATTTCGTGTGTATGGCCAGGAACCCAGCGGGCACATCAGGTTGGGTACCGACCAAGCGGCGCTTGCTGGTATCACCTTGGAGAGTGAGTGGGCTGTGGTGTAGATCTCCCAGTCGGGCAAACCCACGCTGTGTGCACGGAGACGCTGGAGCAGCGAGAGGAGCAGGCTCGGGTCGCTGCTGCTGACCCGGTGAAGGTAAGTGGTGGTGATGCACTGGGGTCAGAGAAGGGGAATGATCACTCTTTCGTCTGAGGACAGCTTCCTTTAAGAGTGTCTTTCTCGCAGTGGACCTGGATCCACGGACAGCAGTAGAGTTTGCTGCAGAGTCCAGGGGTTCTGCTGAGGGGGCTGGGATGTCAGCGGAGAGGGCTGCATAGCGGTTTGACAGGCTCAGGACATGGGCCACGGCGCTGGATGGCTCCTCGCAGTCCGCAGGCTCTTTATTCCGAACCGGGCACTTAGGTGTAGAACAAGAGGGCCCAGAGCTGACAGATCTCTCCCACACGACAGTGTCACAGTATGCAGCGCTCAGTGACATAAGCCGTGAGTGCTGCCCGCCAGCGACATCAAAAAGTTTGGACACGAGTGACTGTTTATCCTGCAGCTCTGCAGTGAGGCGAAGGACTTCTTTACGGAGGTCTGCAATAGTGGCACGGTCCCTCTCACGAAGCTCCAATGTGAGGCGACTAATGTCGTTCGTGGTCATTGCAGTGTCACTTTCCATGGCATACATGGCATACCCTTGTATGCCATGTATGTGTATATTTGTTATTTTGTTTTATTTTGTCACTATTGGTATGTTATTGTGCATTTCTTGCCCTTGCATTTATATGCTGTTGAGAAATGTACTTGCTTTCCCATTGCAAATTATGAATATAATAAAAAACATTGATAATTTAAAAAAATACATTCTTTCCTTTTGCTCCCCCTGCAGGTGCGGCTGCTGTACTGCTCGCTGGAGGAGGCAGAGCTGATCTTCAAAGCTGCCTGGGCCTCAGGGCAAGCGGGGCCCAGCTATATGTGGTTTGCAGTGGGACCTGCTCTGTCGGGACTGGGGCTGGAGGGTCTGCCCAAGGCCTTGTTCGCCATCAGACCTCAGGGCTGGAGGGACGAGCCGCGCAGGTGTGGACCACACGCACAAGTCATAAAATACAACACAATATGATACAGAGAAATATGATGCAATAATAAATTACAGAGAACAAGGCACACAACATTTACTCTATGATTGACCTGGGAAAGGTGACTGGGGAATCAACAAGTTTGTTTTAAATCTTGAAGTCATAATTGGTATTAATGGAGTAAAACAGGCTCCGGACTGAGGCTGTAGATCCAGGACTGATAGATCCAGGACTGAGGCTGTAGATCCAGGACGGAGGCTGTAGATTCAGGACTGAGGCTGTAGATCCAGGACTGATAGATCCAGGACTGAGGCTGTAGATCCAGGACTGATAGGTCCAGGATTGAGGCTGTAGATCCAGGACTGATAGATCCAGGACTGAGGCTGTAGATCCAGGACTGATAGATCCAGGACTGAGGCTGTAGATGCAGGTCACTTCTGTAAAGCATCAGTCAGAATGGATCCGTCTAAAATGTTACCAAATTCCAAAAATATTTTTTAATGTTCTATTTTGTTATTGCGGCTAAAGCAGGGGCTTAAAAAAAAAGCTGACTTTTGTGCTTAAGTTCAACACTTTCTTTTTTTGTCAAAGGACACATTTCCTTTAAGACTTTGTTCTCTCGCAGTTCTCTCTCTTTACATCAGCCTAAATAAGTATCAACAGCAAGATAGAATTTTAGATTTTTTAACAGATTTCACAGTCATCAAATCAATGGATCGTGTTACGTCTTGGCTGAAAGACTGCTGCTTGAAGCTTTTTGTTTCCAAAACGGTCTCCATGTTTTTCAGTAAAACTAAAAGTGCTTCTGAAGATCTGGTGATTTATGTTGAAGGGGAAAAGCTGTAGTCTGTCCGCGGGATACATTTCTTGGACTGGTCATTGATTCTCATTTAACTATTAAAACACATGTGGAAAAGATTTGTAAAACAATTAAGTTTAATCTTTAAAATTTTAGATCAGTCAGATGTGAAATGTCAACTGAGGCCGCAAAACCTTTTCCAGACTTAGTCATATTCATTATTGCTTAACAAGCTGGGGTCAAGCTAATCAGACTACTTTAAGGGTGTATTCAGACCTGCACATTTGCTCCACTTTAAACGGACCAGGATTTGTTTGGAACTCTGATTCGGACCTTTTATGCAGGTCTGATTACACACAAACGAATCCTGGTCCGGACCAAAGAACCGAACCGAGACCCACTTTTTTAGGTGGTCTCGGTCCGCTTCCAAACGAATTCTGGTCCTAGACGATACAGGTCTGAATACATCCGGTGTCGATCCAACACAACTCCAAGATACGTGCGCATCTTTTGGGCTTAACAAGCCGTAGACAGAAACTGTGAGGAATTAGCCATGCAGCGGCTAACTATGCTGCTAACTATGCTGCTATCTATGCTGCTAACTATGCTGCTAACTATGCTGCTAACTATGCTGCTAACGCTACACAACGTGTGCAGACTGGAGCAGTGAGGAGACGCTGTGCAACAGGCTTATGGAGTTACAACTGTTCACAGTATACATTGATGTTAATGGCAGCATCTTCAAACTATTTGCATTATTAAAAGCCTGACACTGTTTGACTCACGTCTCAAAAAGCAATATCCCGTATTATGTAGTGAATTGTGTTCTTTGGTTCCGACCTGATCCTCAGCGTCTGTTTATCCCGTTGTTATTAGTATAGTAAGTTGTGGAACAGGGTTATTATCATAGATCCATGTGTGGGACAGGGCACGGAGCGCACAGACAGTCTCCTTTGGCTTTCCCCTCACGCATTCGCCGACGCTGTTCCAATATTAAAAACAACGTGTTTGGCCTGTGTCATATGAGCTGCTGTTGATGTTGAAGGTGGTTTTGCTCTAAAAAGAGGACATGGGCAGAGCAGACATGCTGCACATACGAGCTCAATGTTTTCCTCCGGTTCCGTGTCCAATCTCCGTGAGCTCTCGCTGTCCAACAGGAGCGCCGATGGTCACCCGCGTCGATGTGTTTATATAAAAAAGTTCACTTGCAAAAAGTACAGTCTGAATACGAACTGGAGCAAAAGAAAAAAGGACTTTTCTGGTCTGAATACACCAAGACCACTCAAAATCTTATATAAGCAAGCCATCAAAGTAATGGATAAAAATCCAAAATGTTACCATCACTGTTTCATTTTGGAAAAGTATTCCTTTTTAAGTTAGCCAGATTGTCAAGGTACAAAGCGATGATTTGGCTCCCGTCCCACTCGCGGGTCTAAAAGGTCAAAGGAACAGTAGTGAGCGGCTCACTTGAGGCTTCGTGAGAGGCGACCGTGTGACCCCTCTGTGTGTGACCCTTTCAGTCAGTCTGCCTGCTCCGTTAGAGGCCCCAGTGGAACTCACCACCACAGACTGTTAAACAGCAGAGCACGTACAGGGCTTTCACAAACACATAAACCTGCCCTCATTAACTGATTAACTAAGTCTTGTAAATGGTGTTTTCTTGAATGAATGGATGTCGTATGTGTCAACACTAACATTTTTTTCTTGATTAATGTTGTCTCTGTCTTGTACATTTGTTATGTTAATTTCATTGAATGTATTTTGACGGATTTTTAACATCACAGCTAGGCGACTACAGATTAGAAAATAGCCTCTTGACTTTTTCTGGCTTTTTCAAACTCTTGTTTAATCATGTGTTTCATTAAACTGCATTGTCCCCTTTGAATGAACCCATTGAGGCGGGAAAGCGTACACGTCTGTTAACCTTTATTGACCAATTCCCTTCATTGGGCAATTCTCTTGACAAATGAAATGCATCAGGATGAACCAGGGATGAGAGTTGTCTACGGATCTGCGAGTTCCAACTTTTTCCCGCTGAAAAAGTCATTTGTGTGAAATGTGTGAACGCGTGCACAAAAGTAAAATGTAAAACAAACAGAACAAACCACAACTGTTGTGTTTTTTTTATTTTTGCTTTCTTAACCTCTAAACCTCTTAACCTCTTAAGCTCCCAAACGAGAAAAAAAATTCACCCGCTGGCAATAGCAGATGTATTTTGAACTTCATAAGCCACAAGCTATATATGATTTTAAAGCTTATTTTCTCAGCTATATTTATATGTAAGTGTAAACGATATCAGACTTTGCATAAAAAAGACATAACGCATAAAATGGGCACAACATTTTTGTATAAGTTTCTTACCTTTCGTCTTCTGCTGTTCCAACATATTAGACTTTCCCCATCCTTGCTTAGGCTCTTTCTCTCCGTAAGTCTTCAGTGAAAAAGAATATCCACTTGTATTTCCCAAAGTATAATCCATTCTTCAAAAATAATTAAAAAAAACGCTCCGAAAGCTTTCACCAAGTTTGAGCTTTGTTTAGCCCCACAAACATCATATCCACGTGTTCCTTGAGTCCTTAGCTTTAAAAAGAGAGGTTTCATGAAAAGATAGGAGCAGGTTTCAGTCCGCAGGACCCTTGTGAAAAAGACAAACCGCATCCATTTGCAGAGGGTCCTTTTTCCCTTGTTATTGATTAGCATGGCTAGCGCTATGTGCTAGCACTGAATGATTGATGTGTCTAAGTAGCCAATAAAAAGAGCTTTCTTTTGATGGGTGGGACTTGTAGGAACCCTTTTCATTTTCACAGTAAAAGCGTGCGTAAAGACGCTGTTAGTACTGCTGCGCATATTTTATATGCATTTACACTACTAAAAATTTATTTTGAAAAAACGTAAAATAAAATCACACAGATTTGTAACTACCAAAGTACCAAAACTAAAAAATATGCTTTTTATGATGGTGAAATGTTAGTAAAGCAATTTGGCACAAATTTTGCCAAATTGGTTCCGAATAGCACTACTTGATAAAAAAGAGAAACTGCATAAAAACTATAAAACTTAGAAGTCTGAAACTTTACACAGTTGTTGTCAACAACAGAATGAACAAATTAGCGTTGAAAATGTTCTTCTTCCAACGAAGTAGGCTTACTTAGGGCATTTATACATTGAATTTTTTAAGCAAACTTCAAAGGATGCAGAGTGAAATAGGAATGACATACATTATTTCAGTGTATATTTACATAAACTAGAAGGGCCTAGCTTTAAAATTATGCATCACACAAGCATGTGAGATGTAAGATGTGTTTTTAGATAAGCAAAGACATTTGGGTATGCCAAACTTTTGTGCACGAGCCAAAACAGATGTAGGAGCTTAAGAGGAAAGAGCCCTATGAGTAATTTCTTGATTTTTTTTTGGGCTGAGAATGGATTTTTTGATTATTTTTTTTCACATAGTTAGTGCCAATTTATTGCCAAACTCTTGTTGACAATAAAGTGGGAAACATTTCTTTTTCACACATTATCTTTAGTTGTTTTATCATCTTTCCTGTGTGGATTTTGTGTATTTTTTGTATTATTCTACTGAATAATACTTATTATAATATAATTATAATAATTCATTCATTCAATTTTTATTGAAAGCCATAAGTGCCAGCTCTCTAATTCTTTTGGAATTCTGTTTTCATCTGCTTCAGAGGCTGAGATATCAATCATTTATTAGACGTTGCATTTCAGGAAAACTTTTAGAGGGAGATTCTAAAGATCATAGGTTTTACCTGCATGTTTTAGCAGGTGTGTCAGGCCTTAATGGGATTAACTAAACTAAAACTGAAACATACTGTAGATTAGAACCTGGTTTAATAATGATCAAAGTTGAGGCTTACTAAAAAGATACATAATAATTGTAAAAGTAAGCCTCAGTCCTGGATCTACAGCCTCAGTCCTGGATCTACAGCCTCAGTCCTGGATATCCAGCCTCAGTCCTGGATCTCCAGCCTCAGTCCTGGATCTAAAGGCTCAGTCCTGGATCTACAGCCTCAGTCCTGGATCTAAAGGCTCAGTCCTGATCTACAGCCTCAGTCATCCCACACCATATGGGCCAATGTGTTTGTTATTATTGCATTTTCAAGTGTATTCTGCTGGTCTCAAAATTTGGACTACACATGGGGAGGCAGCTAAAATCTGGAACAGTCGTCCTGAAAATG